CCCTCCTCCACTGAACTCGTTGGAAAGCAGAATTAGACAACCAGCTTTGCCGACCGAGCTTCCGCCCCATCCTGCCTTCTCTAGCGCATCACCGTCATCCACCAAGGCCCAGAAGAGTTTCCTGAGCTTGTCCTCGACAAGTCTGTGAGTGACTGGGTTGGTCTCCCTGATCGGAGCTGGGAGGGACAAGAGTACTCAGAGGTGACCCTTCCCATAGCCAGTGCGGGGACAACTGGGCTCCGCCCTCACTCTCAGGGACAGGTTCTCGGGGGCGTGGCCAGCAGTGGCGGACTCCTGGAGCTGTCTGCACTCGACACACATCCACCACCTTGCTTTGCCCTGCGATGCTAGAACCAACCCATGGCTCAGGTGGGGACACCTGGGCTGTCACGGGACCTGCCGACAGACACACAGTGGGTCCCTGGGAAAGCACAGACCTGCGACCAGGTGTGAGTGAGCTTCGCTCCACCTTGCTGAGCAACAGAGACCCTAGGTGACCAGGTACCCCTTGAGGGCTGGTGCGGGCTGAGGGAAAGGACAGCACCCAGCTCCTGTTCCTCACAGCCCCAGGTCCAGGAACCCACCCCCTCTACCCTTTTATAGTCAGTCTACAACCCTCCTTCTAAAAATAAGTTCACCTGATGAGATGCCAGGAAAAGTAAAGTTCAGAAGTTTTATACTATCTTACTCAGGAGAGGACATTAGTTGGACAGACTTATCACGTTTTTATAAATTCATCCACAAATAAATAATTCTAAGATATACCCAAAGTACTCTAGCCTCTTGACTCAACATGTTTTTGCAATTACTTGGCACTCCAACTATACGCTACTTAAATTAGGTAACAGTCACCAAGTTATTTTTAGCCCATAGCAACACACACACACCCTGTACACACTGCTAGACCTAGCTTATCCGTGTTCCTCTGGAAGAAGAGGCAAAATCACCTTTTTACTGGTGCCATATTTCTGTTTAATCAGTAGTAATAATAGCACCGAGCTGCATTTGCAAAGTGCTTGTCAGTACGAGGCGCTACTCTGAGCACTGTACACATTAACGCATTTAGCTCCTGAACCAACACTAGGAGATGGCTGTTACTATACCACCTTTTGCAAATGAGGAAACCAAGGACTGCAGGGCTTAAGCACCTTGTGCTAGGGCCATACGGGGAGCACCAGCGCCACAAGCAGGGACAGTGAATCCGAAGTCCGCCCTCCCCGCTACCCTTTCTGTTATGAAGCCAGTGTCTGGCATCCAGCCTTGGGTGTGAGTCAGAGGCTGAGAATATGAACAGTTAAGTTTGTGAATGTAGACACAGATTTTACTTCACATCAGATCTACATTAGAAATTAATTTTTTCAGTTAAAAATCCTCTTGACATCCCTGAGTGTGTGTGTGTATGGGAGATTCTTATTCACTCTTCCTCCCAAACAGAGAAAAAAAGGAAAAAAAAGCAAACGTTTTCTCTGATTTCTGAGCATGGTTGTTCACACCGTCATCTCATTCGCCACCACCGGCGAGCGTCTGTGTAAGTTGGGGAGATGTGGAGTCTGGGTTGCAACTCCCTCAAGCTGCACAGGGAAGTTTGAGAGTATAAAAGTAACGCCTGGCATGAAACTCCTCCCTGGGGGTCAGCCCCCCTGAGCCATTCCCACGCCTGCCCTTGTTCCCCCAAAATGCCTCTGGCCCAGGCAGCACACGGCCAGGGCAGGCCAAGGCTCTGTGGCAGACACCATGGACCCAGGACGTAGCCCAGGGTGCTGGAGCCCTCCCTGCCCTCAAAGGACGGCTTCTTGTGACGCTGGGGACCCCATCTTTGAAAATCACTCAGACAGAAGCACAACACTGAGGTAGCTGGCAGTGAACAACTCCGAACTACCCTATAAATTATCCCCACCAAGACTGTGTTTAAAATATGAAGTCTTAGCAAACATACTTAAATATATCTGAATGTTGTCTATGCTATAATACATTTCAAGGAAAAAAAGAAAAGAAAGCAAACGGAAATTGTTGGTTGACAGGGGCAGGGCTATTCATTCTACACTTTTCTACTTCTCTAAACATTATTTATGATGAAAAGTTTAAAGGCCTATGTTGTCTTTAGAAAGGGGGTGCGCAGCGGACGGCCTTCCTGCACTGGCAAAGGACACATCAATTCTCCTGGACTGGGAGGAAAGGGGCCTCTGAGATCACATCGAGCTTGGGGCATTGGTTATGACAGGTCCAGGATGGCCTAGCGGCCTTCTTCAGTTCGGTCAGAAACCTGGTAACAGCTGATCGAAACTCAGCCTCAGGTGAAGCAGACTGTAACCCTCCACAATGTTGAGAAGCCTCAAGTCCTTATTCATCTGGATAGTTTTCATCAGGGTGAGCAGAGGCTCAGGCTCCACACTGCTCTCCTCAAAAGATGAGACTAAGCTGGGGGTTCAGACGTGGGTCACACAGGGAGGGAGCTGTAAATCAGAGCAGGGGTGTAATCCCAGGGGCTTCCGTGTGCTCATCAGCTCTTCCCGACCTGACGCAGCGTTACTAAAACGGCAACCAGCAGCCGCACCACTTGACAGGCGGCACCAAAATGGACAGCCCGGCACGGACCGGGGCCAGACACTTGGGAAGCGAGGGTAGCAACCAGTGTTTACAAACATGACCAGGCGCTCAGGCGGGACAGGTATAAATTACCCGAGACTGCACTGAAATCCCCAAAATAAACACACCAGGCCTTACATGTGTCTCCCTTATAGCCTAACCACCCCCACCACCGCACCCTACCAAAGCCACTCTGTCCAAAATGGTACCAGTACCACCCCTGCCGAAATACAATCTCAGATCACCAAGGGACAGGGCTCCTAAAATAAACCTCACAGGGAAAGCCAAGCCAGGACGGCCTGCTGGACCCACGCAAGTACCAGGAGAAGCTGCTGAGCAGGCCCTTGCGAGATGCCCCCCACACTTGCCTTGGTGGTGCTGCGGGATTGATCACAGGCTCACCCCGAAGAAAGAGTAGCTCAAGGCACTCTAATAGCCTTCTCTGGGCCACTCCCCCAACAGATACCACATGAACAATGATAACAAGCAACAGAACACAGACCCCTCTGCACCTGAACTATATATTTTCCACCCAATTTCTAGATATTTAAAGAAAAGCCCCCCCAAAACTACAAAGAATCCAACCTCTGCTACCAGAATGTCTTCCAAAGCGGCCGCCTCCGAGTCTCACCAACCTGAAAATGCCCGGCCCTCCCTGCGGCTGCGCGTGGTGAGGTCAGCGCAGTCCGCCCCGCCCCGCAAGGCAATCTTACCCCAGCCCCAGGGGCAGTCGGCTGCCTGGCACCAGCTGCACCCACAGTGGAGTGAGAGAACCCCACCTTCACAGTGGTCCTGAGACACTGCCCTCTCATCACCCGACAGGCCCTCGGCACATCAGAGGGACAGGATCTACCTCCTAATCACCCCATGCTCAAGTTCAGGCTCATCTGAATTCATGTTGCCCGATGCCTTCCAGACTAGGGAGACACAAGAAGCCTGCTTTTCATCAAGAATATGGACTCTACAGAAGGAACAAGACCAGCAAGACCATTTGTCATTATTCCCCAAGATAAACTCTCACAAATGGAACCCTGTAGACAGTATTTCCTATCTGAGCAAGACAAGCCTAGCCAAGATTACCGTGCAAGAACAACAGCAGGGGGAGCCTACTGGGAAACGCCAGAAGCCAACCACACAGGAAAACAGAAATAGAATACAGAGCTCACGGAGGACCTCGAACCCGTGTGAGACTCCCAGAAAGCCTTCTACCACCACCAAACAGTGCCTGAGCTTCCAGATCTGTCTGCACACAGTTGTGAGAGGTTCTCCTTCACCAAAAGACTACTCCCCTGGGAAGGACGTGTCTCTGTGACAGTCGAGCCCAAGGACCGTGAGCTTGAGGAGGACAGTGCAGCGTGGGAAGGGCAGTGACAGCAAAGGGACCAAGGACACTGCATGAGAGAAGGCAGAAGTGTCACCCAGAAGACAATGGCAGAACGACTCCCCAAAGACAAACTGCCTGGCTCCAAGTGGACACGGCGATTTAAACACGCACAATGATCAGAGCAACCAGCAACTCTTAGCTCAACACATCCGGGGGTGGCTGAGCTGGGCCCCGGGAACCGCAAGCACCTTGGTCAGAACCCAAGGGGAAGACAGAAGAAGGAAGAGGACCGTCTGTGCTACCACCGCCAGGCATAAGATGCTGCAGTGGAGAGAAGGGCGTCGGGACAGCGTTGAGGACAGGCAGGTGTGAGGCCTCCCTGCCAGGCCAGGCAGCCCTGCTGCACAGAGCCCAGAGGAGGGGCCTGAATTCCCCCTCTCAGGCTCAGCTCCTTTGACCTCAGTCCTGCCATGATCCACAGACAGGGAAAGCCACCCACCATGCCCTCTTGGGAGAAGCCATAACTCCAGCGGGCATCAGGTGAAGCCAAAAACTACCATGGGCTGGGGAGAATGTCACTAAAATGCCTCTATCTCCTTGGAGATCAGGCAGAGGGATGGATAAAGGGGTGAACTTTTCTCCTTCTTTGGGGCCTTCATACAGACCTCTGTCCATCTTGAAGGTCACTCTAGCAACCATCCCAAAGCCAAGGAGGCCAGAGAGAGGAAAGAAAGGAAGCGTTTCCCACCGAAGCAGCAGCCCTCTCCAGCTGCCCTGCAGGTCAGCACTGTTGCTCCCTCTGTTCCATCTATACCGCGAGGGCTGAGAGACAGGAACGCTCACCCAGCTCCAGGACCAGGTATGCGTCCGACACGGCCCCTCTTTAGAGAGGCGGCCTGGCCTGCCCTGCGGCACGCATCAGAAATCCTTGCCTGGACTCGGATCTTCCAGCCTCCAGCCCAAGGCATTTTTCTTACAGTAGCAAAACACTACAGAATGGGCAAGGAGGAGAACGCGGGGAGAAAGGCTATCTCGGTCTCGGGTATGTGGGCGAGGAGAAGGGCTGGCGGGAGGGGAGGAGGGACATTACCTTTCAGCACCAGGGGGTCTTTGCCTTCTCTCTTCAGGGACTCGAGGACTATGTGAAGAGGCTGCGAGGGCATCACTCTGCTCGGCTCGTTGGTATTCTCGTCGTAAACTATGATTTCTTTGGAGAAGATCCTCTTGAAAGAGTCCTTGCCTTCCCTGCAGGAAATCAGGTCCAGGACAGTGATCTTGCCCTGCTGCAGCCGGCGCCGGCTGATCTTGTCGGCACAGTTGATGTGGACAGCTCCTTGGATGTGACTCTTATTGTACTCCATGAAGGGCCTGCAGTCGATGATGACGGGGCCCTGGCTGGGCAGGTGGCTCCTGCCGCCCTTGGTCATCTTTTTGGCCAAGTCGTTGGGGTAGATGATTTTGATGCTGGCTAGCTGCTTGGGGGTCCCTGCCGCGGGGCTGCCCGCCCCACCCGCTAAGCTTAGGGAGCCTGTGTTCTCATTGCTGCTGACCATCTGGGGGGCAGGGCAGGTGGTAGAGGTTCCGACGGCGGTGGTGGCGGTGCCCGCAGCAACGGCTTGGGTCTGGGCCTGACTGTCCTTGTCGTAAGCTGCCACAGTGCAGCAACTGGCACTGCTGCATCCACAATTCAGGGAGCGGGCAGAGCCGCTGGATGAGGGCATATACGTCAGATTCGCAGCCTGGAGGGACACGATGGTGGTGGCGATGACAGACGGGCGGCTGCTACTGCCGGGGGTGGCAGAGCCAAGGTAGCTAGAGTCTAAGCAAAGGCTGAGATCCTGAGGTCGGACAGGCCTAGACAGTGCCACTACTACCCTGTCATCTAAAGGAGACGGAGGCATGAGGAGGCCGAAAACTGGCAACGCGAGGAGAACTCAAGAGTCTGCAAAGAAGGGGAAGGGGAAGAGAAAAGAGAGTCACCACGTGACACAAACGCCTTACATCCAGTCCCGGGCCAGCATCGCCTCTCTCTGAGTGAAGTGCAAAGTGCCCTTTGCCGCAGCTTCCGAAGCCTGACACCCACTCCGAGGGATCCGAGAGGATGCAGCCCGTGGGCCCTGTCTACCCAGCCGCTCAGTCCACCCTGACACTGGACTTCACGTGACAGACGTTAATGAGCAACCTGCCACGGCTGGCACCAAAGTTCAGCCTCCAGAAGGTGGGAGCACAAAGAATCAGAAAAGCTGCAGACAGAGGGGAGGGTTCCGAGGCTCTGTTCCGGGCCACATCTCCCGGGCACAAGGACTCTCCACCGAGGAAGCCCATTTGCGTACCCTCTCAGATGCTTGCCATGTAACTCCTTCACCCACAGCAATTCAGAGACGACCAAGAGCACCGGCCTGGCTCACAGAAATACACAGCAGCTAAATATACCTCAGGGCGGATGTCAACTTTCTACAGACCAGAATGCAAGTGTCTCCTGAGAGAACAAGCTTTAGGAGGGGCCGGTCTTGCTCCTTGTCCTACCAGGTCATCTGAAAACCACAGCAGAGTCACACCAGGACCTCACGTCTCCCGACTCCCTCTTGGAAACTAACTGGCATTTCCCCTTCGCACTTCCACCCGGTGTGTTCAGATGAAGTCTCAGGCTGGCGGAGGGGCCAGTCTGGAAACTCAACCCCGGCAGGTCTATCGCCTGCCGATCCCTTTGCTCACGCCTACTCTCGCCTGGCCTCTGAGGATGGTACCCACTGCTTGGCCTCCCCTGCCCTCCCGTCCCCAGCGCAGGCTGCCTCCCAGAGCTCCTCCAGGCCGGCTGGAGCAGCCACACTGCGAGGTTCAGCTTCACGCCACCATGCCCCTCACAGGGAGCTGGGGTCTTCAGGGGACACTGCTGCCCAAGGCTCCCTGGTTCCCGCCCCCCAGGGATCCTGCAAAGGGAAGGAACAGTCCCCTGCCCCGCCGAGGGCCCTGGACGCTTCCGCGGCCCTGGCGGCCCCTCTCTGTCAGACACGGACACAGCCAGGAAACCAAACCTCAAGCAACAGAGGCTCACCTGCGCAAACTTCAGGAGCTGTTCGGAAAAATGTCATCTATCACCCGTCTACACACGACCCTCATCACTCTCTGACACGCAGCCAAAGTGTCACAGGCGGAATGCACGCACGCACAGCCGGGCACGTACCCACCGGCTCGGGTTTCTCCCAGCACCTCTGGATGGGAGCTAAGATCCAGCCTCCCGCCTTCCTCCCCACCCCCTGGCGTAGTATTTTTTGGAGAAGGAGTACTATTCCAGCAGCTGCAACTGTTTCCCAGCCTGACCAGGCGTCAGAAGCCTGCCCTGAGGGTACGTGGGGGCGTCCAGGACCAGCTCGCCAGCCCCTCAGCGAAGGCGCACACCGGGCCCTGCTCTCCGGGACGCCAGGACCCCCGCCAGTGCCAGCGCACGGGATGGGCTGCTCCCTGCAGCAGAGGGGCGGTGTGCAAGGCGCCCAGAATCCCCGGCCCGGCCTGGCAACCCGGGTCCGAGGACCTGGCTCTCCCGGGCAGGGCCGGGAAGAGACCCGGCGCGTGGAGAACGCCCTTCCCCACTCGCGGCACCCACCGCCGGGTCCTCGCCACGCAGCGGGCTCGCACGCCGGCGGCGAAACTGCCGCAAAGCATCCCAACAAGCCCGCTCTCTCCTGCCCCGGCAAGGGGACCGCAGCGTGGGCGCGCAGGGCCCGGGCAACACCCGCGGTCCTGCGTCCGTACCGCTCCCCCTCTCCTCCTCGCGTGCGCACAGACACGCACACACACGCGCGCGCACACTCACACACACGCACACACACACGCACACACACACAGCCCCTTCGTGGCCGCGGGACTTGCACTTACTTCCTGGAGCAGCGCAGCCCTGCACCGCCGGGCGCTGCGCCTCTGCTGTGGACTCGCGCGGGCCGCCCATTCACTCGGCTTCATTGATCTCCAGCAGCAACATAGTTACTTTCTCTTTTGCTACACTGTAAATGTAAGATTCCGAGGGGGCGGGCCGGTCGCGGGCGGCCGACCTACGACGCGGTAAGCCAATCAGAACCCGGGGAAGGCGGACTGCCACTTCACCAAGACGAGCAGCCAATGGGCTTCCGGGGGCGTGTCTGGGGCGGGGCCTCGCGGCGTTTGGGCGGGCCCGTAGCCCGGCGCCCGGGAACTCGCAGCTGAGACTTGGGCGGTGATGTCATTGGCAGCCAATCAAACCCTTGAAAGGTCCGGCGGACCGGCGGGCAGCTGCTCTCTATTTACCGGGAAGCCAGGCCGGCCACCGTTAACCCTTCCCGGCCCGGGGCCCGGGGCTGCGCTCGCCCACGGCGAAGCTGATTGCCTCCACTCGCTGGCTCTCCGAGATCCTGCGCTCGCGGACCCCTGGCGCCCGCAGACACTGCGCACACTCGGTCACCCGCACCCGGGCCGCCCCGCAGCCGCGGGTACTCGGCACCCGAGGACACCCCGCAGCCGCGGACACCCCGCACCCGCGGACGCCTTGCACCCCGGACAGCGGGCGCGTCCGTTTTTCTTCTGACTCAGGCGGAAGATGAGAGCCGCGGACCTGGTTTTCTAAGGCTAGACCGCGGCCCCTCTCTGTCCTCAGGGGACAGCGGGCTCGCAAATGTCGCTGCCCGCCCGGCTGCCCGGTGCGCGGCCGCGGCGCCGTCCTCCCGCCCCCGGCAGCTCCAGCCTTCTCCAGCTCGGTACCTGGGCAGGACCCGAGCCTCGCCGCCTCGCCGCCTGCCCGCGGACTGCTCGGAGGAGGGGGCCGCGGGCCCGGGGCGCCGTCCAAGCCCCAGCGCGGCAGCCTCTCCACCCAGCCATCTTTCTTACCCGCTCCCGCGGCCCGCGCCCAGGACGGCTCCCTGGAGCCTGTGGGCAGGGTCAGGCCTGATCCTCGGGTCCCGAGCCATGCTGAACCCGGTGGAGGCGCGTCGGGCAGGCGACCCCGCCTCTGTCAAGCGCGCTTCCGGGCTGTGGCCAGCAGAGCGGTCGCAGTGCTGCAGAAGAGCAGGCGGTGGCCCTGGCCGTCTAGGAAAACCTGGGGAAGCTGGGAGGCCGCCCTGGACCACCCGGAGGAGTGGCAAATACGCCAGAAGTCTACACTCCAACAGAGCCGGTCCTGCCCCACTTCTGCTCCACTAGCGCCCTAGCTCTGCTCCAAGGGACAAAACACGAAATAATTACAGTGCAAGAATATGTTCTGAGCACTGTGGATTGTTTGCCTGTGGTTCTCTACCCTTCCTAATGGCAGGTGTTTGAAGGCTTACTTTAGAGTCAGGCCTAATAAATATGCTAAACGGCCTGGAGTCAGAAGGCACCAACCACAGCTGGCCAGCTGTTCTCAGCCCGGATGTTAGGAGAAACCCGTAAGCACCTTGCATCCACGTGCACACGTGCACACGCCTGTGTTCCGGCACGCATCACACACTGCGAGGATTTGGGGTAGCGCCCTATCCCCACACTCACACCTGCCTCGCAGTGACAACTGAGGCGCCATCCCAGCGATCTTTGTCTTCCCCCTTGGAGGTGGATCCTGTGAATTTCCACAGAAAGCAGAAAAGAACTTCCCAGAGGGCCAAACGTGTATATTTTTGGAGCTGAAAGGCTTCAGGCCCTTTCCTAAGCGCAGTTATGGAGAAGATGTTCACTCACTCAAGCCTGGAGAATTCTGAGTCCTGGTTCTGACTTCCTTGTAGCTGCTCAGAATCACGTGTTCACTTGTTTGTCTATAAGATGGTAAAAGCCCAGCTCAGAAAAAAAGAATACTTGTGCAAGCGATGGGAGGAAACAAAGGCTCCCTGTGGATAAAAGGCACTTAGAAAAGGATCATTCACCTGCCTCAGGAAATGGGCTGCCGCTAAGCACCCAGTGATCTATACATGGTTGACTCGCTGCTAAGGCCACCATAGCTCTGCCCTCAAAGTAGAGATGTGGACAACAGTAGGAGAGGGCTTCTGTTCCAAAAGTCTTCTCAAGGGAAAGTAGCTCCAAGAAGAAATGTAACTTATTTAATGGGACAGTTATACTAGTTTCAAGTCCTGAGTTATTGGAACTCAGTTAACTAAGAATCTAATCGTCCGGGCTGAAAACTTGAGAAAGATGGCAATTCTTCATCAGTTATAGAACACGCAATATGGAATAACTGCCAGATCATAGATGCATACAAAGATGTGATTATTTCTTAAATTAGGCATCTCTGTGTATATTTATGTTCAAATTATAGAGTGATAGAACAATCGGATTACACAGAGGAGTTTCTTTCCAGGCACTACTCTCCGAGCTCCTGCTGTGCCAGACAGGGATTTTGCCTCTGTGTCTGAGTTGCTAGGAAGTGAAAGCGCCTGAGATGCTGCCTGCAGGTTTAATTTTGCAAAGCAGGCAGCCAATGGCCAGGAACCTGATCTGTGTACCATTAACCAGCAGGCTCCATGCTCATGTTCAGTCCCAGGGAACCACAGGCATCCTCACCGTGTGTGGACACTGTGACAACTGCACTGGGTCACGGCTTTGCTCCCACAGATGTTGAAAGCAAAATGCTATGCGTTCCTGTCAAGAGGTGAAGACGACTTGGGCCCAGGTACAGGAGATAAGATGGGTGGTGTCAAACAGACGTATTATTTAAATTACTTTCTTATGTGCACTCAAATGGTGAAGCATTTTGGGATGATGTCTTCAGCCTAATCCTCGAGGTCAAGGTAGATTTCAGAAGATTCTAGAATTACGGCAGAGAAAGGTTTGGAGAAAAAGTAGCAATCTTCAATCCCAGGATAAAGAAGATTAAGTCAGCAAGGATGGGGGCTGAACTGTGGTTGGAAAGTTGTGGCGGCAGCCATGAGGTCACTGGACGAGGGGTGAGGTCACGGGGGTCAGGGTGAGGTCACGGGGGTCAGGGTGAGATCACTGTGGCCAGCCCCAGGGGCCATCTGACAGCAAGCTCCAGGCCAAGGAAGGAAGGGCTAAGGGGTAAGTGGGAAGAGGCTGGGGAGTGTGAGGAGGCGGGGCCCTCTTGGATGGGATAAAAAACGGGTTCCACCCCTCAGTCCTTGTCCTTTCTGCTCAGGAGGAGCAGAGACCCGGCCCTGACCAGGCAGGGAAGTGGCAACAGCCCTCACCTTCCTCTGGGACTTCTCAGCCTCCGGAACCTTCAGACAAAGTCTGTTCCGTGCGAGATATTTGGTCACAGCAGCAAGCTCAGGGCGAGGGGCTCCGCGGCAGTGGGCGGAGGCAGGCCATGTGCTTTGTCACCGACCACAGCGCGGAGCCAGAGACTGTGGTCCTGCCCCACAGGACAGCTGGAGGCTCTGGGCCGTGGAGGCGGCCACGCGACAGGTTGGCTTGCAGTGAGAGGCGCCTTCAGGTTCACGTAACGTGTAACACGTTGGATTTGTAAATTTCCTCTACAGATGTAAAATATCTCAGTTATTTTATATTGATTACACACCAAATTGCTTATGTTTTGGACATATTGGGCTAAATATTAGTAAAATGAATTCTACACATTTATTTTTTACAGAGAATGTGGCTACTGGAAAACTTTCAGTGACGTACCCAATTTGCCTGTTTCTTTTGGACGTTAGAGCCTGTAATTGCTCCTTGGCCAAAGCCATTGGAACCACAGTGTTGGGTCTGGATGGGACTTGAGAGCCTGTCTAAGCCACTGGTTCTTAAACTGTGTCAGGGTGACCCAGAGGGACAGGACTCAAGGTAAGTGACCACACCCGCTTCACTCCTGAGACTCCACAGGAGCAGTGACTCTGCAGGAAGTGTCCTGCTGTCCTCCCACTCTCCTGTGGTTTTCACGCTGCCAGTTGTCCCTGTATCTGTTCAGCAATGTGAGGCTCAGAGTGGAGATGACGTGCCCCAAGCTGTGCTTGGCCTCTGCTTGTGGCTTCTGACCTGCCTCAGAGTCTGCCTAAGGCCAGGTGTGGTGGTGCCATGTGTAACCTCAGCACTCTGAAAGCTGAGGCAGGAGCACCAGTGTGAGTTCAAGGCCAGCTCGGACGACCTAATGAGACCCCGTCTTACAAAAACAACAGCAGCAGCAACAACAATAAAGCACAGCCCAGCACTTCCCAGCTGCACAGAAGGGACTGACTGACTTTAGGAGACTCATAAGCCCCCTGTATTCATGAAGGTAGCACATGCCTTCCTGGGCAGCTCCTCCTCCTTCTCCTCCTCTTCCTTGACTGACCTCGCAGACCTCTGCTGCTCTTCCTCAGAATTTGGGCTGATACAGACTCCCAACATAAACTCACATTCGCTACGAAACTAATCAGCCAAAGCTAATGCACTGCCATGAGGGCCCAGCCACACCTCCCGAGACGATGGCCTGTTATTATTTACTATGTGTGGCTGCCTCAAAGGCTATGAAGGCTTCCCCTTCCAAACTGAGCAGCTGCCTCCCTCACTGGCAGAGGTCTCCAGGCGCCTGCATCTGACTGTACTACCCATGTCCTGCAGGGTGTGAGACTGAAAGATCAAGGCACCTCCTGAGCATCCCCACCCTTACCCTTACTGGCTTCAGGCCGAATGCAGGTGGAGCATTCTTACTCTGAAATCAGCAACACTCCAAAACCCAGCAATTTTGGGGCACTGAAATGATATCATAGTGGAAAATTCCACACCTGACCTCATGTGATAAATGGCAATCAAAACACAGGTGCACTAAAAACACAGCAGAAAACCACCTTCAGGCTGTGCATAGAATGTGGATCTAAGCATAAGTTTTGTGTTTAGACACTTTTGTGTTCCACCTCCAAATATCTCATTATTTATGTGCAAACACTCCAGAGTTCACAGTCTCAAACACCTGATTTCAAGCATTTTGGACCAAGGCGAGGAGAGGTCACCACACTGCGGAGGCAAGTGTCACACTGCACCATCTCTGCATGGTGGGACAAGGTTCTTTAGGTTTCCAGATGGGCCATAAGGAGCCTCCTGTATCTCTATAAGTAAATATTCATGCAACTTGTTCTAAATATCTGGGGTTCAGAAATAAAATAATGACAAGCAACATTTACTGAGCTTTTTCCCTGTACCGAGCACTGTTGGGATTTACTCACATTAGCTCATTTAAATCTGCATGTCCATGCTGAAGGTGGTGGGAGATACGGAGGGAAGTGGCCAGCGTCACCCTGTGTGCAGAGGGCACAGCTGGGGCAGGACTGGGGCCCCGCCAGTGGGAACGGTGAAGGAACAGGAAACGCAGGTGGTCCTCAGCTCCTGTGGAGGGGGAGGGGACCACAGGGGACACCAGGGGTCTCCCAGATCCAGGCTTCCTCGGTGCAGCCCTGGGACCCAGAGAGGGGATCTGAGTCCCACGTGATGCGTGCTCCTGGGGTCTGCAAAGCTCTTCCTGCCCTAGGAAACACACAGAGCACTGATGACTCCCCAGCAGGTCCTCGGGCAGCACTGCTTCCAGCTTCCTCCGGCCATGTAGATATGACTTCTTCCCAGTGTGCAGACAGGACTTCCTCCTGCTGTGCAGACACTTTAACCATCCAAACCCACCCATCCCTCCTGTACCTGCTCTGCTTCTCGTTCCCTTCTTGGGTGGGTGACTGGCAGCCTCTTCCTCCAGGCCCCGGGCCAGGAAGGCAGAGAGGGATTCACCGTCCTCTTCCTCCTTCTCTCTGGACCCCGGCAAATCTCCCCGTGCCCTGCTGCCAAAGTGCTTGCTGTCTCAGCACGTCCGGGCCACTCGGAAGGGGCTGCACATCACTGAGGGCACAAGCGCTCTCCCTGCGCCGCCACCTCGGGATCTGCTCGGTGCCCGTGGGACACTTGCTCCCTGGCGCCTCTTCCCATGGCCCTGCTGTCCTTGAACGAACCTGGTGGCTCCTAGGCTGCTCCCGCCAGACGGGCACGTGCAGCTCCGCCCTTTGCCCTGCCTTAGTCTCTCAGCTTCCATGCATATGTTGCTCCCTTTCAGTGAGATCTGTGGCTTAGAGTTCTGTTGCCCTGGCTCCCTGCCCCCGAGAATAGACTCTTTCGCTCCAGCGTGCGGCACAGCAGGCACACAGAACATGTTCACCCGATGAATGGAAGACCGCAAGGCAGAAAGGGACCCTCTGGTTGCCCTCCTAGGACAGAGCTGATGAAAGCGAAGCACGCAGTGCTGCTGACTACCGTCAGCGTGGCCTCAGAGCCAGAGCTCAGACCAGACTGCAGGATCTGGCTGTCCACAGCAGCGCAGAAGTGGATGCCAAAGCAGGCCAGGGTGGGACGCCGGCCCCGGCAGCCTGGGTCGTTAGACGGCACTAACTTCCGGACAGAGACGGGCTGGTTGTTGTGCTGGTTTCCCAGTGGAGGTGGGAAACCAGCACAACCCTCTGCAGCCAAGTGACAGATCCTGGCTGGAGACCCCTTCTTGTTTCAGCCCCAGGGCCACAGCTCCACCCGGCTGGCTGCCGATTGACATAATTATTATCCCCAGAAAGTAATTTTAGAAAGAACTGAAAAGGAGGACATGGGTGATTAAAGTTCTAATAATAACATCTCCAAAAAGTCTGGGTTAGTGAACCTATAACTCAGGTAAAACAGAAGAAGCCTCCGGTGTGCAGGGAGGAGCACCTAGAGCCAGATCAGAAAACATTTTCTACTGGGGAGGCAAGTAGGGCGGGGCGACCACTAGGCCCCTCGGGACTCCTAGGGGAGAGAGGGAGGGAGAGAGGCAGGGAGGTGATTTTATACGGGAAGCTCCTCTAAAGACACTGTGTGGAGTTTCACCTTGAACGTCGGGTGAACTTCCTGTCCCACCTAGCTTGTCGTTTCCAGGTCAGACCTGCTCACAGATAGCTGCGGCACAACGTGCTCTTCACCCCCGCTGGGTTTTGCACAATACTTTCACCTTCTGTCTCATTGGAACTGCACAAAAACTCCGGGCCCCATGCTACGATTCTGATTTGGCGGGCAAGAAAACAGGCCGTTCTGGAGGGGCCGTGTCCTGACCTGTGAGAGTCAGACCCCACTGGCCAAGCTCGTGTATGGCCTCCCTGTGGAGGAGGACAGACTCGGTAAAGCAAGCAGTGCCTAGTTCATGGATGGTTTCTTGATTTTCACACACGGGTTTCTACTCTCAGGTGATCACACGGAGGTCTGGTGGCTTCGCTATCCTAAGAAAACATTTCAAAGGCTTGCTCTAGGAAATACACCTTCCCAAAGCTCAGATGTCCGGTGTTTCGGGGAGCACGGTGTGGTCTCCTGCCCTCTCCAAGGGAGTGATGTGCAGACAGACAAACAGGAAACCAAGCACAAAAGCCACGGCAACGAGAGAGCTGATCACAGAGAAAAGAGCAGACGAGCAAGCAAACAGAGCAAAGTGCCACTCCCCGAGCCGCATGCACGGCAGAAACATCCCCAGCCCTCAGCCGGTGGACAAGGAGGACAGGGCCAGTGCGCCTTCCTCCCCTGGCTCTGAGGGAAGCAGGCTCCATGCTGCGGACTGACCAAGCACTGACGTTTCTGCAGACCCTCACAGGGTCCAGAGTCCACTCAGCTCTGAGAGCGCCGCGCTGTCCAAGGTGCCCGAGGCAGGAGGCTGCCCTTGAGCACCGAGTTTTCCAGCCCAGGGCCACACCCAGCCTGCAGCTCTGCGTTGGGGAGAACAGACCGCGTGGAATGACTCCTGCGTCTGTGCAGTGATTTCTCCAGTGCTCCTCAGACTGGGGAGAGCCCAGGGCCAGACTGTAGAGCCGGGTCCCTTGACGAGCGCAGGGACGTTGCCACTGTCCGTGCACTGGGCGTGCTTTAAGCTCTTTCCGCCCACTCTAAGCTCCTAGAATAATTTCCTTCGTGGAACCTCACAGAAAGACCAGGCCATCACAGAAAGGGGCCGTAGAAATCCTGTAGTATACACCTTTTTTTTTTTTTTTTCCAAGAAACACAAAGGAAACTTATAGAAGTGAGATGAGCTATTCAAGGTGACAGGAACAGTTAGTTACTGAGGCTAGAGACTGACTTCCGGCTGCTGCCAAGCCTTTCTTATGGTGTCTGATTTTGTGTTTGGAATAACCTATTAACGGACTTGTGGACCAAGTAACTCCACAAGGTGTTAGATGTCAGCCAAAGAGAGGGGCCACCTGATTAGCACCTGCTCCTCGAATGTCCTGTTCCATACATGAGGCAGACTTGATGACCTAGATTCTGGTTTGCATGTGCTCAGGGACCTCTGGGGCATCTTGGAAAGGACTCCAGGTGAAGCTTGCATGTGTGAAGTGAGGCTTGTTATGGCGCCTGTATGCTGCCTAGCGAATCCTCCTGATGGCTCTGACCGTGCTCTTCTCCAGACCGGCGGGCTCTGATGGCCTCTCATGTGCTTTGTTCTGTTACTGATTAATTTCCCTCGCCATGAGGGGCACACTTTCAATCTCCAAAGGGTGGGGGTATTTGTTTGACTCCACAGCCTCCTGGGACATAGATAGTGTGCAATAATATCTGTTGGCTAAATAATTAACTGATTTTCAAGGGAGTTTCTGCTTGGCTCCCCTGCCTGAGACACCTGCTCTCCAGGACTTGGCTACCAGCTGTGGACCATCCCTTCCCCCTCAGCTGGCACAAGCTGTCACTGCCACCTGAGGAACCCAGCTTTGCCATCTGCTCCTGGGTTCTGAGCAGCCCCCGTTGAGGCAGGGCTCCTCTACCTTCCAGGTTGTTCCTGGGGTCTCCCATACTACCTTGAAGGTATCTTCCTCCTGCCAGAAGCTGCCCTACTTAGTCTCACTGTGGCTGGAGTGCCTTGGCCCTTATCTCGGGCAAGATATCCCTGTACAGTACCAAGTGTCTAAACAACATGCTCAAAGGAACACTGATGACCCTGATCCTGCTGACAGTGGCATACTTCACTTGTCCGGGCACAGAGTAGTACCTACGCAACTTCCCTTCTCATGGATAAGGGCAGCTGAGCTTCCCACAACCCCTGCCACACCAGCAGTGTCCCCTGTGAAAGGCATCCACAGGCTAAGCTGTCACAACTACCCGGAGACAGAATGGTGCAGTGGTTAGGGGCTCAGGCTTTGGAATCAACCGACTTCTCGTATGACCTTGGGCAAGTCACTTAGTTTTGCCACAATACAATTTTCTCCTTTGTAAAATTAGGGGAAGCCAAACAGAACAGAACAGGATCTACACCTCCAAGGATAGAAATGAACACTAGGGAGAAAAAGTTTCTCAGAGCCTCGAACATATTACAGACAGTTAATAAAGGTTTTGTATATAAAGAGGAGAAATGATTGCTTTCAGAGGATGGCAACGGAAGTCAGAGACATCAAGAGAAAGTCAGCTACTTGTACACCAACCAAACAGGCAGGGAGAGATCAGAGATGTGGTGGACCTCAGGACGGTGTAGTAGGACTGGATCATGGGGGCGGTACCCATCAGTGGACTCATCCTAAGCTCCTGGCTGAATGTGCTGCTAGGAGGCAGAGCCTGGCAGGAGGAGATGGGCCAAGGGGTTGTGCCCTTGGAGCCTACATTGCTCACTCTGGCTCCTCCCTTCTCACTCTACTTCCAGTCGCCATGAGGTGAGAAGCTTTCCTCCATGAAGCCTTCCTTCTGCCTTGGAGCCAGCTACCAGGGACTGAGACTGTGAGCCAAAATAACCTCTCTGCAGTAAGTTGTGGGAATCAGGTATTGTGTTGCAGCAACAGGAAAACTGACTAATACCAGGTGGTATTCAGGCTCAGACCTAAAGGAAAACAGAGCCAGATATGCAAAGAGCCTTCTTTTGGGTGGTGAAGTGGTATGTACAACATGCTAACACAGGAAGGAGTTGGTCCACGCTGGGAATCGAAGGGCTAGAATTGAGGCAGGGAAAGAGAAAGGGTATGAGATGAGAATTTGTGCATGCATAGTGCAGAGGGAGGACTAGGTCAGTAGATGGAGGCTGGAGCTGGGTTTGCAACTGTGGAAGCTGAAGTTATAGACAGCAAGGGGAGAAGAAAGGAAAGCCAGTAAGGTGACATGTTGGGACTGGAGGTGGCAGCATGGGGGGATGCTCAGCTTCATAGAAAAGCAGATGGGCACCCACAGAAATAACTAGAGAAGTGAATGTACACACAGGTCAGGATACATGTCTGCAGCTCCTTGGCTGATCACCTGGGAAGGTCTGGGAGCAACAATACTGTAATAACCATGAGCACCTCTAATTCTTAGACCACTCTCAATAGAAGGAACAAGAACCCCTTGGATTAATGCCTGATTCTAGGACTGAGGCATAAATGATGAGTCTGGAACATCTTCTAGTGTCAGAAAGGAAGGAAGGGACTGGGGTGTACCTTGTAAGTAGAGCACTTGCCTAGCATGCATAAGGCCCTGAGTTCCATCCCCAGAACTACAAAAAATATCAAGAAAAAGAAGGATGTACAGTATTAGAATAATTGTGATTGATGGCAATTAATTGTGTATTTAAGAATAACTAGTAGAGGGAATTTTAAATATTCCCAAGACAAAGAAATGATTAATTATGGAAATAGTGGACGTCAGTTACCTAATCTGACTGATCATCATGCATTATATACATGTGCTGCATTGTCACACTGTACCCCTATAAGAAGGTACAATTACTGTGTCAAATTCAAAATATATCAAGAATATTAAAAACATTAACAAGAATATAAGAGAGTATTGAAAACAGAAGTCAGAAGGATGGGGCTATGCCAGTGCAGTTTAGGGGCCAACCAAAGTAGCTCCTAGTGGTTAAAGCAGGAGGAATTTGAGCAACAAAGTAAATAGGACAGTACATATTATAACCCAAGTTATAAAATATTCATAAATGAATATTTGAATAAATAAATGGGGAAAGAGACATATTTCCCATACTGAAAAATTCCAAATAACTTTTGGAGTGATCCCACCCACTGAGGGTGGAATTAACATGCCCCTGCCCCTGGTACAGGCTAAGCAGAGTGACTTTCTATCAGAGATTTCCTGTCCCAATGACTTCCTGTTCCAGGAACTTCCTGCCACAGTAACTGCCTATCACAGAGTCCAGCGGGGGTGGCTAGAATGTGTTATAGCGGAGGTCAAGGTCAACAGTGACAGGAGCATGTCATGTTGATAAGACGTGGTGGAACCCCCTTTTACCTGTGTGGTCTTCTTCCACAGAACCTGGAATCCCAAAATACCTACTCCTGAGACAAACAGCAGCCAAGTCCCAACTGCAGGACTTCTACAAATGCTCGTCTTCTCAAACCCGGTCCTCCAAGCACAGGGCAGTCTGCAAAGATGGTGGCCCCGAGAAGCGTGTGATGCTCGAGGAGTGTGGGATTGTTACTGGAATCTGCTGGCTTTTGATTGTGCTTGGTGGCTGTACCAAAAGTTATCAAGTGGCTCCTTTTAAAAGCGACTCTCGAATGTTACCGAGTTCTGGGTTGCTCACCTCTCCTTCTGGAGTTAAGAGTTTAGGTTCTCATCTCAAACAAAGAATTGAACAAAATGAGCAAAAAGCAGAGACAATGTTTACTTAAAAAAGGTAAAAGTGAAGAGTGAGGAAGAAACTGGCCCTGCAGAGTGAGCCTGGGCGAAGTAAAAGAGGAAAGACAGCGAGATAAAAGAATACCCTGGAGAAATCGGGGTAGGCTGTCATGAGGAAGGCCACAATAGCAAGCCTTTCTTGGTGTCTGCATCCTTTTCTACTGTCCGAATCTTGAGGAAACTCATATGAACTTCTACATACAGATCCCAAGAGGCGATGCTAGAATCCCACACCTCGGCTGACTTGAGGGCTAGGGCATCGGATTGAAAACATGCTCGAGTTCTGGAGAGAAGTCCCTGCTCAGGCCTTCGGGAACTGTTCTGCACATGTGGTCTGGGATCTTGTAACTAACCGGTCATGCCTACTTCCCCAGCCAGTTTAGTCACACCCTAACCTTCTATATCAGGACCAGAGTGGATCTCCGAGTAGAAAGTGGCATCCAGTAAAAAATAAAGAACGCTGAGTAAAGTTTGAACTTCACTGAATGTGTGAGTATGACTTCATTTGCCAGGATAGATGCACTATATCAGTGTATGATGTCACAGGAGACACTGACTGTGAGCCACACTGAAGCTCTCCAGACTCCACAATTTGTTTTACAGACTTAAAGCTGTTCTAAAAACAATAAAGCACAGTAAAACCTTTCAGTCAGACATGTTAGAATTCACTTTCCCACTCTCTGGTAGAGAATAATATCACAAAATGATTAGTGAATGAAACAGCAATAAAAGAACAGGCCATCAGAACATCGAGAGAAGCATTTGAGAGTCAAGTGGGAAGTCTAGTTTGTTGCTACATTATTTTTCTGTAATTTAAAAAAATGTGTGAACAACAGCTTGGCCAAACCTGTAATCTGTTGTGATTTCTTTGGAATGAATAAATACTTATTTTTGAATCTAATTGCCTATATATTTTTTTATCCATTTTTCTTAAATTTGATGCCCAAACAGTATCAGCTTCGAGTCCCACAAAACTCAGAGTTTCTGCTGCCTGACTCGGAAGTAACGTACCAGGACAGTGTGTGGACAGTGGCCCTGCCTCAAGCCCCAGCCGGGCGGGGGACTCTCCTCCTGCCTCTGGAACCTCCCTCTTCCCGCCATCACCTCTAACCTGCTGTCTTCAGCCAGGCACTATCGCTTCAAAACATGGGCGGCAGCAGCGGTGGCCCTGGTACCTGTGGGGCTGCTTGGTTTCATCTCCATCTAGACTCATCTCAGTCCTCTGTGTGGCCAAGATCCCCGGTGGGCCCCCGGTCACACTCTGTCCCCACCTCCAGGAAGCACCCTGCACTCTGCTCATGTCCGCTGGTTCCCACTGCATCATCCAGAGTCAGGGATGCCACCCTGGTGATTTCCCTCTAAGGGTCCCTGGCGATAAAATCACAAGTGTCTTTCTTTGAACTTCTTGAAATCTCTTTTCTAAAGATCCAGGGTTGGTGCATGGTTAATTTTGCTCAGAAGTTTTCTCTATGGGTTTTTACAAAGATAAAAGGGTTACTTTCATCTACTACCATAGTCTTCTTTTAGGAACAGAATTAATCTCTTCATAAGAGTTTATTTCTTGTTGTTATTGTCACTTTTATTGTTGTTGTTGACATGAGCTATTGCTATGTTGCCTGGGCTGGCTTTGAGCTCCCGGGCTTAAGGGATCCTCCTGCCTCAGCATCCCCAAAACAGCATATGTGGATTAACTAATGACCAACTCGTAACACTCAGCTGAACTGAGTCAGCATTGTGCTGGGTGTGTGTGGAAGGCCCACCTGAGAAGTATTGCCAACAGCATAAAAGGATGCCTAGAGGGGAAGATGGTGTGCTGTTGATTCTCCTGGAGAAGACTGTTGTGCTGGTTTTCCTGGTATGAACTCGGCTGTCCTATCATTGGAGGAGCTCAGGTCCTCACTGTTGCTGAGAATGGCTGCGGTTCTCTTTGAAGGAGCTCTGGTTTTTATCTTGGTCATCATTTCCTGGCTCCAGTGTAGATTTCTCAGCCTGCTGACACAGATCCTTCATCCTGCTGGTGCAGACTTCCTAGCTTCTACCGGTGACCTTTGGGCTTTCCCAGTGCAGATCCATGAAACAGGCCTGCATGAGACATTGCCATGGGCTCTAGGTCTCCAACTGGACTTGTACAGCCATTGCCCTGGATCCAGGCCTGCAGCTGGATTCTCTGGGTCTCTAGTGTGTAGACAGATCAGTTGCACTCTTTTGCATTTGATTCTTTGGGTGAATATTATAAAACAATCCTATGTATCATGTGTCCTGTATTAAATCTATTCCCTCGTGAACCCAGACTACAACAGGCCCCTTGCTTAGCTCATCATAATTTTATATTTTCTCATCCATTTCTCATCAACATAATATTTTCTCATCCTCCCAAAACAGCAAAATAAATAAGTAAACAAATAATAAATGACAGTAGCCCTTCAGTTAATAGCACGTGACTCCAAACCCTTTCTGCCCTTTTGGGGCACTGTCCCATCACAGCCAGTTTTCTTCCAGGCGTGGGTGAGGGTCTGACAGCAGCTGCTCCTGCACCAGGGTGCACGGGTGTGGGACCCCCCACAGCGCCACCTGATTTTTCCGTTCTTCCCATGTGGTCTCCATGCTTCACTCACGTGTTCAGATCCGCATGGGCTTTATTTATGCTTTATTTTTTAACACGTGTGCACTCCTCAGTCTTGCGTGTGTGTGTCTGTCCGTGTGTGTGCACAGTGCTTCCAACAGCCTCTGTGGAAGAGGGGAGAAATGTCTGCCGCTCTTCCTGCACTGCTCCTGCGGGTAGCGGAGCGTTTTCCACAGTGAGCTGGGACAGTGTCCAGTTCCGGTCTCCATCTTTTGGGTGGAAGCATTAGCCCTGGACTCTGAACACAGAGCAGACCTGAAACAGATGTTTCCACTGGGGAAGCCGGCATGAGCGTCCGATCTTCAAGTATTCTGGCAGAGTTCACGCGTACGTGTGTTTGTGTGCACACAGGCATGTGCGTGTGTGAATTCATTACTCGCGCTGTGATTCTTGACATGCTACTGTACGAGAGGAACAAAAGGTCAGCTGGTGAACTGGCTGGCAGGAGAGGGTGAGCTCTCCCTGCACAGAGGAAGGGGAACACTTGTTTCAGGGTGCAGGAGATGCACGTGGTAGCCTCAGCATGGGCCCGCACAGAGCCAGGGCCACACAGGGCCGGGCTGGCCAAGCTCGCCTCTGCTCCCCAGACGTCCCAGGAGTCGCACAAATTCCCGCCTCTACCTGAGCCTCTTCTCCCCAGCCCGTGCCGCGTCCCCTCCCCCACACTCGCAGGGAACCAGAACCTTCCTCTCACCCGCTCAGGGGCATTGCTAGATTAGCGTGTCCCCCGTGAGAGCAGAGCCTCGTCTCCACCAGGCTTTGAACGGAGGAGTACTGTCACGGGGCAGGTTATGTGCGACCTTCACCGACTTCCGGTTTCCCGAGGCCCTTCTCTTTTCCCTCTCCGCCCCTGCTCCATCACCTCATTTTCATCATCCTTATGACTGTGATTCACACATGTTTTGGTTACTTTTTTCTCGTTGCCGAGACAAAATACCCAACGCCCAAAATGAAGGAAGGAAAGGTTTATTTAGCTTATAGTCTGTGGAGGTTTCAGTCCATACCTGGCTGGCTCCCAGGCAGAAGGTAGCAAAGCAACAAGAGCAAAGAGGGAATGGCAGCCGAACAGCAAAGCAGCCAGAGCAAAAGGGAGGAATCGGGCAAGCAGCTTCTTTCCCTGCCTTACATTGTAAACAGGCTACCCCCACCTAAGGGGTGTGTAGCTCTCACATAATCTCCAGGCCCTCCTCTTCCACAGGCTCAGGATGTATACAAAGTAAGCACCCTGGCTTCCTGCTGAGTCACTTAGCCAAACCTCTAGACTCCCCAAGTTGACACAATGTATCAACCATAACAATACAGAACCACTCTCTAGGCAAAGGGCTTTTTTTAAAAATCTACCTCTAAGAGACCCCTAGGTGCTCCATCAGACCCCTACCATAGCAGGAGACCCTGCCCACCTTGTCATCCTGCCTCTGAGGAAAATACTTACACCTGGCTGGGAGTGGCGCAAGGCCCTGCTGGTGGTCTGGCCGAGATCCTTCTGCTGGACTCTCCGGAGACCCATTCGGTAGCCAGCACCCGGTCTTCCCCCATGGGTGTGGCTCACAGACAGGCCAAGTGTGCTTTTCACAAGAGTTTTCGGTGGTGCCCCACCACCAGGTCCACTGAGTGACTGGCGGGTGTTCTGCATATCCAGGCATAATTCTAGCAGTTGCTGGGAGGGGTAAGTTTCATGTATCAACCTGACTGGGCTCTGGCTACCAGATACTCAGTAGACATTCAGCTGGGCACCGCTGGGCAGGCACTTTGCAGAGGTGGTGAGCACCAGCAATCAGTGGGCTGCGAGGCTCCCCAGGGGTGGGGTGAGCCTTGTCCCATCAGGTGATGGGACAGAACTCCAGGAGCAACCCTGGCCTGAGGTCCACACCGCTGGCCTGCCCCCCATGGATCAGGCTGGTCAGTCCCACAGCTCCATGGGCCAAGCCTTGGATACACCTATTTCTGTACATGAATATACGTATGTACATACAGCAGCATACATAATCCGCAGATCACGGATGATGTACGACAGCGTGCGAGTCCACACCTACGAGAACCAGATCAGATGTCCTCCTGAGGTCAGCACTGAACCTAACCACTGAATTTGGTTCAGTTCCCGTCCAATTCAGTTTGCGACCAGAATCTTGGAAAGAATGAAGTTTGTGAACTGAGGCACCACTGCCTCTATGTGTTGCTTCTTTGGAGACTCTAGACCGATGACTTTTATTTATGTTTGTTCTAGTTATGTTGTCATGTGCTTCTAAGCAGCACCCAGCTGAATACTGCCTCTTTAAATCCAGCCGGGCTTCTCCCTTCGGTTGTGTGAAGTCTGCTCAGATTTAATGACATTATTGCTACTGCCGAATCTAATCGTCATCTTGCTACTTATTTCGCATTTATTCCTTACGCTTCTTGTGTCTCTGTCGCTCTATTTCTTAAAAACTTACTTTGAATTAATTAGGTAATTCTAACTCTCGGATTCTGTCTCCCTGCCCGCCCTGCCTTGCATCTCCAGCGGCAGCCTCACCCGTCTCCAAAGGTGTCCATCCCGTCTTCACCGTGGAGGGCGTTTTGCCCTGGGACATGGCAGGGTCTCCCGTCACCACCTTTGAGGTGCTGTCCCCAGGCCTTCAGGGCCTCGCCTTTTGTAATAATAAGTACTCAAGATTTCTTACCATTTTCCCTTCCATGCGGTTCCTTTTTTGATTGGTAAATCTGACATTTTAAGACAGACTCTGGAGCACAGCACTCCCGTTTCCCTGCCCTGCCAGCCTGTACCATCAGTGCCGCGTAGAGAGCCAGCTCTAGGGGAAGACACGCACACACGTAAGGGCCGCAGACTGCTCACAGCCGCCGCCGCAGAGAAGGGGTGAAGGGGCAGAAGCGCTGTCTCTGCACCGGGACGAGGGACCCATGCAAGGCCGGGGCTCCGGGTCGGTCCCGAGCGAGTCCCTGTCAGGAGGCCGAAGGGTCCGGATGGAGGCTGAGGGCTCTGCACTGGACGCCAGCAGGAGGAAGCCAAAGACAGGAGCTCCTCCGAAGAAGCAGAAGCGGCCTTCCTCCTTCATTTCCCTTGGTCCCATTCAGGGCGTGGCTGCCCTGCTGGTCTTCTTTGTTCAGTAAGTGCCGTTTGGACCTGAGCTGATCCGATTTAGCAGGCGTTCTC